ATGTAATCAACCATCGTGAGAGTTAACGTGAGCGCGACACATAGGAAACTGACTTCTCAAATAATATTATAGAGATATGAATGGTAAACTATAATTGCTTCCTTACACTTTATGTGAGACTGACCGTCCTTATTTTATGCACGGGGTATTTGAATGATCTTTAAATTGTGAAAAAGTTTTATAGGGTCTTGATATCTTTCAAATAACTTGCAAAAGTTGATCATTCTTCTGATTCTGAAATCATCTTCACCAATTGAAAGAAACCCGTTGCAAGTGTGGCCTGAAACTGATATGAATTCTTCATACACTCCATTACATTTCTATAATATTTATATATACATAATTTATGATTTAATTACTATACCAGATAATAAATTTAAAATAAATAAAATCTATTATTTAATTATTTATACATTATATAACTTTTGTGGGTTAATTTATAAATATTTAAATATTGATCAAGTATGAGACGGGTTGAATGTCATATGTTACTTTTTATTATAATAAAAAATTAACTAATACAAGACAAGTTAAGTAAATGAATTATCTTATTTTCCTAAATTATAGTTATAGATTTTAGTTTAATTATCTATAGTTTTAAAATAAGAATTCTTTTATAAAAATAAATATGTATAAATTATAATTTTCAGTAAATAATCTTTTTTTTTGTCATCACAGTAAATAATCTTTTGAATAACAATTAATTCCGCGCTTTTAAAGCGGAGATCTAATTTAGATTCCTAATTTTTATATACCTAAAAATTGTCATGTAAATTTAAACTCTTTCACAACTTATTATAAATAATTATAACATTTTTATTATTAGTTTATACAATATAACTCCCCTTTAAGAAAAGTATATTTTTAAATTTGATTCTTTCACTTTGCAAACACTAACAGTAAGAATAGTTTATGGATCAAAATTATTATCCCTAACCGGTTCTAACCAAATGAAATACTAATCACTATAGTGACTTGATATGTTCCACGTGATCCATTGTATTGAGAAGTGAGCCAATAAAGCTTTGCAAATGTGTTCATTTGTTTTAAATTCTACTTTTATTAGATGGTCCAAGAAAACCATTTAACTCAGTATATTGTTATATACAATATCAAACTTTTCTTAGACATTGAGTTATATAATTCAGTAGATTTTAATACATCTGGTCCAACTATTTAAACAATGCGAAAAATTTATAGAATTTAATATAAGTATAAAATTGTAGCATTTTGAGGTTTTGGCACATTAACATGTGTAAATGTTTTAGATGTATAACACAAACGCTACAGAAAGCGTTAGGCGTTACGCATACAGTTGAATAGGGTCTAGCGTCTAATCAATTAGTTAGGGATTAATTAGGGATTACTCAGAAAAGAATTTTAGACAGTTTATATCGTTTTGGGGTTATATATTATTAATACACAAGTAAAACGTTGTTGTCATGTAGTCTAGTGGTTAACTAAGTGTATTAACTTCCACTGGACCCAAATGCTTCACTTCTCTGCGATTCTCTGTAATTTCCAGCCGCTTTGTTTTTTTTTTTTCAATTTGAGTGGTTTTTCTTGTAAGATTTAATTAAAATATATCAAATCCAAGACACATATGTGATTTGAAACTCAAAATCTATAGAAACAGTGAGTTTTATTGATTCCCCGATTTGTTGGCCAAATAACTCCAAATCGCCACGGTGATTGCCCGTTCCACACCTTTCCGGCGACTAGCCGACCGCCTAACCCGCGTTTTCGAACAGGGAACTTATTTATAACAATATGTGAACTATTTACAAAATACTGTAAACATAAAATATAATAAATTTAAACTATATCACAGAATTATTTTTCGTTTTAACTTTATGTTCAAATATAACTCATGAAAATTAGACAAATGGCATGTCAAAAATATTCATCCAATAATTTATATAATTTAGTTGATTAATAGATGAGTTGCATGATTAGAAAAATAGTTCAGCTTTATTTTTTTATCATAACAAATGTTTTCTAAAAGAACAAAATTTTATGAGAAAAATCAAATATGCATCAATACTATTACACATAATTAATATTTTTTACTTGCAAATAGTTTATGTTGGACAACTACATTTAATTATGTTTCCTATTATTTCTATTTATACACAACTTAATTATTATTAAATATATACTCTAGCCTAAAGTTAAAAAACTAAATAATTAATCTATTTTTTTTTAAAATGAATTCAACTTATATTAACACAAGTTTAAGTAACTAATCAATTATATTATATTTTTAATTAAAAAATTATATATGCTTACTAATTCGCATATATACAATTATTCATTTATCCAAATATGAAGAATTTGCTCACTGAATATATAATAATATAATTGTATAGAAATAATATTAAAATTAGATATATATATATATATATATATATATATATAAATTATAAAGTAAATATTAATAGTTAGCTACAATTAATATTTAATACTATGATAAAGCATGTTATTATTGATATTTTTATGAGTATAACTTTATGGGTTATTCCAATAAATATGTAAAATATTTATCACAAAATACTAACTAAACAGCATAAAATACACTTTAAGTTCGGTTTGGGTGTTCAAGACCACGTTGGGGATACAGGTTGTTTTGAATTCAGTTTTAATTTATATCAAATCCTATATAATATTTTGCTAAATTTGTAAGTACGAATCATGTTCAGATATAGCAAATCGGTTGTGATTTTAATTTGTATAACATTCTAAATCCATAAAGTAACCATATATTACTATCACATCCTAAATCTCATAAATTAACTGTATATTATTTGGATTCAGGTTAGATTGGTTCTGTTCGGATTTATCCGAAGCTAAATCCAAAATTTTAAAAGAAAAATCTAAGAAATAAAAAATTATTTATATAAAATGAGATATTTAAGATATTTATTTAAAATAAATATTTATTTTTAGATATCATTTTAACATAAATTTAGAATTGAATATTTGAAATACATATCTTATATATTAAAACAGAAGTCATGACGTGACTTCATGTGTGATTTTTTTTTTAAAATGGACTATTACTAAAAAGTCATGTTACGTTAACTCTCTAATAATCTTATTATTATAATATATTATGAAAAATTTATATCTATAATAAAAAAAGATACGCTTAACAATTTGGTTTTGGTAAATTACTCCACACCTTCCAAATTAGTCACGCAAAATATGTCAATAGAAATAAGTTTATGAATCTTCTATTATTTATAAGGAAATATGTCAATAATAGTTAAATGCATCCACAATATATATTAACAAAAATCACGGATTCATAATATGGAATATTTATATACCCTAACAAAATTTACACGCTATACATATTAGATAAATTTATTTCGATGTAAAATTTTTAATTATATATTTTTAAAAAAAATTTAGAAAAATTCTTTTTTTAATAAAATTCTTTATAATATTAATTTATGAAGCTATAAGTTTAGTTTTTAGCGAAAATTTCTTCGAATTTTATATTATCTTTGCAAATTAAAGTATACTAATATTTAATCAAGTACAAATCTAACAAACAATAAAATATAGAAAAAGAAACACACACATGTTTTTAACATGTATAATATAGAAAATTTGAAAAAATCTATTTGTTATAACACGCATTATATAATATTATTATGTTTGAAAAACATTTACTATACACATCGTAAATATGTGATTACTGTAATATATATCAAGTGAAAACAAAATGTTTATATAACTAACTATAAACGAAAACAAACACCCGCGCGGTTGCGCAGGTCAAAATCTAGTCTTATATATTAAAACAGAAGTTATGACTTGACTTCATGTGTGATTTTTTTAAAAATGGACTACTACTATAAAGTTATGTTACATAAACTCTCTAATAATCATATCATTATTATATCTTATGAAAAATCATATTTATAATAACAAAGATACGCGTAACAATTTGGTCTTGGTAAATTACCCCACACCTTCCAACTTAGTCACGCAAAATATGTCAATAGATATAAGTTTAGGAATCTTCTATTGTTTATAAGGAAATATGTCAATAATAGTTAAATGCATCCAAAATATATTAACAAAAATCACAGATTAGTAATATGGAATATTTATATACCCTAACAAAATTTAACGCTAGATATATTAGATAAATTTATTTCGATGTAAAATTTTTAAATTGTATTGTTTTAAAAAAAGAAATTGTTTAAAAAATTCTTTTTAATAAAATTCTTTCAAATATTAATTTATAAAGCTATAAATTTAGTTTTTAGCAAAACATTCTTCTAAGTTTATATTATCTTTCTAAATTAAAGTATACTAATATTAAATCAAGCTATTTATATTACTTTATCTAAAAATGAAATATTAATCTAACAAACAATAAAATATAGAAGAAGAAACAAACACATGTTTGAAAAACATGTATAATATAGAAACTTTGAAACAATCTATTTGATTAAAACACTTCTTATATAATATTATTATGTTTGAAAAACATTTACTATACATATCGTAAATATGTGATTACTATAATATATACCAATTTACAAGTGAAAACAAAATGTATATAAATAACTATAAACGAAAACAAACATCTGCGCGGGTCAAAATCTAGTTTATGTTTTAAATGTTTATTTATTTGTGATTACAGACAAGTTTTAATCCGTTCTGGTTTGGGTTCACAATTTCAAATCTGAGTAAGTGAGTATCATGATGTCCTCAATTAAAAAAAAAGAGGAATAAACGCAAACCCGACTTCCAAAAACGCTCAAACACTCAAAGTTGTAGACTCATCTCA